TGGGCAAATATTTAGGGCCATTAGTTCCAAAAACCATCGACTAACTCAGTTTTAATTTTGTTGGTATTGGCTATATGAATCATCTGCAGAGGCGGATCCAAGACTTGAACTTTATTGGTTCTGGATTTTAGGACACGACCCCAAGTGTTAGTAATTGGATTTTGAATTTAATTTTTGTGCATATTTAGTGGTTTGTGTCAAATCAACTGGGTTGATACGTACCCATATCTTAAAGCCTACATCCGTCCTTGTTCCTTTCTATTTTTTTTGGCTCTATTCAACTACTTTTTTATTTAGAGGATTCGAGTAGTTTGACTATTTTAAGAGGACAGTTAATCTACCGCAACTCTCATTTATTCGTGCTTGGGATCAGCTATACTTTGCATATAGGCGGAATTACTAAATCCATTAACTCATTCTTGAAAAATCCTAAGCCATCTTCTTGATATATTGTTTTTGCACATATGCAGTGTTTACTTAAGGCCATTAATACATTCCTCAAAGCTCCATATGCCATTATATTGATACTTGCATTTTATTGAGGATACATTTGTTCCCTGTGTTGTGGAAGTCGTGGATAGTCAAATTGATTTCTTTATCATGTTTCTTAGTTAACTATACTGTATAGATATGATAGTCTTCCTTGCCCTTTTGCTTGTTGGGTTCATGTGTACTGCATGTATGGGTGTTGCATCCCCTGGATACATTAAATTAAATGCTGAATGAACTTCTTGTTAATCGTTTTTATTTATTGATGTTTCTCTACATAAATGAATTAGAAAATAAAGGATACGTCTTTGAATGCTTGCAGTTGCCAGTTTGGTCCAGCAATTACCAAACTCATTTAGCAAGTGTCGTCTTTTTACCGTGATTAGTACACGCGTTGCTGGTGGGACCTACTCTTTATATATATCATGGATGAATCTGGTGGTACTCGATTTGAAGGGCTCAATGCTACTGTTAGAAAGAAAAGAAGCCACATGTTGCGACGACCTAGACCAGAGATGCCGGTTTTTCATGAAAGCCATGATCAGTCACCCTCAGCACTAGTTTCAGATGATGTTGGCAGGGTTTCCAGTGATGAGAACACTGGTGATGCCGATGCTGGACGGAAAATGTTCAACCTTAATCATTGCATGTCTAGAGGCTCTGCTTCAAGAGTAGATGAGGACTACACTTTTAAGAAGAATAAGGATACAGGATCTAGCTTGTTATATAGTAATGGAGGTCCAGGAGATGATACATATTCCCGGAATGGCTCCTCTCTTAGGAAATCAGGAACTGTTCAGGATGCCGTTGGCAATGATAACAAGCTGAAAAGGGTTAAGCTGAAAGTTGGGGGTGTGACGCGCACCATTCAAACCAAAACCGATTCTCATGGTGCATGTGGTGGTGGTTTGTCTACTAAAAGTGCTCGAGCCTTAGGTGCCTCGGTGCCACGGCAGAAACTTGGCCAGCAGGTTTATTACGTGCTTCTTCTCAAGTAGTTAATTTTTTGGATTATCTAAACCCACTTGAATCTTTGATTGTGCTTTAAACGTAGTCTCCCTCATAATTGTGGTTGGTTTCATCATTTTGAAAAGGAGGTGAACCGCATACCATTTTTACGGTTCGCTGCTATACTTGTTTCTGTCTAACTTCTCGAAACAGGGAAAGCAAAACATGTAGATAGATGTTGTTGCATTATTATAGGTTTATTAGGGAACAAAACAGTGAGGTCCATAAGAATCAAATGTTTCAAGGATGAGTTAACAACGTAATAGTTTTGCCCTAAATTATTAGCAAGAAACTCTGGTTGTTCACTTCATGGAAAACCAGATGGATTAGGTTAACCCTTACCTTATGTTGGATACAGTTTTGGAAAACTAATGCCAAGCTTTTGAAGATGCAAATCGTGATTAATCTGAAGCCGATTTACCAGAGAAAGAAATCTATTATATTGCATGTATTAATTTGGCATTTATTATTGGTCAGATTATCATTGTAATAAACTCTCAAGTCTCAGTGCTGTCCAATTAACCTTTTCATCTAAATTTTAGGACACTTCGAGTGAAGACGGTCTTTCGGAAAAGAAAAGTGGGTTGCAAGGAAATTTGTGGAGAGATTCACCAAGAGGCACTTTTGATGCTGGCAAAGACAATATGGGAAAGACACCAATGATAAATGCCTTCGAAAAAAGAGGTGACAAGTCAGATCCAGCTCGTAAGAGTAAGAGGGCGCCGAAGAGGCGTCTCTCCGAGGGGTTTGATGAGGATGACGATGATGATGAAATTCGGTACTTGGAGAAGCTTAAAACCTCAAAGTTTACAGGATATAAAGATTTCGAGGAGGAATTGACCAAGAAAAGAAGTCTTTCCCGTGTTTCAAAGGTTTGTAAGTATGAAAAGGATGAAAATGTGGGAAGTGCAAGGAAAGATGTAAGGAAGAAATCAGAGGAAGGTCCTGAGGACACTGATTATGAGGTGGAAGAGCTCCTGTCTGATGGTGAGCCTGAAGGAAGAAAGAAGCAGAAACAAAGGAAGGAATCCTCAAATTCACCAATTGAAACGATGAGAGGAGAAATGACTCTTACAACACGTCAACGAGCTCTCCTATCTAGCAAGGATTCTACTGCTTCTTCTGTGAGTCAAATTGAGTTCCCTGATGGTTTACCACCGGCGCCACCTCGAAGTAATACACTGTAGTTACTTATATGTTCCACTCTTATTTCTTTGCTCTATAACTTTTTCTGATTAACAAATTTGTCTTGCCATCTTTGCTTTTTTACAGAGCAAAAGGAGAAGCTCACAGATGTTGAGCAGCAACTGAAGAAAGCGGAGGCTGCTCAGAAACGTAGAATGCAAAATGAAAAGGCTGCTCGTGAATCAGAGGTTTTCCCTTGTCCCTTTTCCTGCTTACTGTATGTGTGCTCTTCTAAGTCATATGATGATGAAGTGAGCATAACCGTTTTGAATTTTCAGGCTGAGGCAATTAGGAAAATTCTAGGTCAAGATTCCAATAGGAAGAAGCGAGAAGATAAAATAAAGAAGCGGCAGGAAGAGTTGGCACAGGTAACCTGCTTGTTGATATGTAGATTGTTTTTCATGGCGATGTTATGAAGCTGACAATTAATTGACGTTATATCTGGCAGGAGAAGGCTGCTAAAGAGCAGATGCTTGCAAAAAGCACTATCAGAGTGGTTATGGGCCCTACTGGGACTGTTGTGAAATTTCCTGAAGATATGGGTTTACCTCATTTTTTTGCTAAACCTTGCAGGTAATGTTTTCTCCATCCCCACCTTTTTCTTGTCCTCTGTGGAATTGGAGACAGGAGGTGGAACCTGGATATCTTGGATTGCTACATGAATGAAGCACTATTAAAGTTGCTAATGGTTCTGATTGTGTTTTTATTGCCAATTGCAGTTACCCTCCCCCTCGTGTGCAATGTGCTGGTCCTTCCTGTGTGAATCCATACAAGTACCGTGATTCTAAGACAAATCTTCCTCTTTGCAGTCTCCAGTGCTACAAGGCCATTCATGAAAACACCAGCTTGAAAGCCTGCTAAAGATTGTTAAGATATGTTCTTGCATATTGTGTCGATTTAAGCAAGGATAATGAGGATATCATTTCCATATATAGGATTCAGGACCAGCTATATCTGGGAACAAATTGTGTACATGATTTGGTTGCCTCATAAATGTATGCCGCCCTGCCCCTAGTCCATTTGTCATTCCTCTTCTATTTGTTTTTCCATATTTGTATATTTTTCTAATCACTGGTCAAGTTCATTGCTGCATAGTCCACCAAAAAGGGTAGTGCCATCATATTCTAGTATTGCAAATGGGTTCATGGGTACATATTGTTTACACTTATGGCGCTATTAAATGTCTTTGGAACGAGAGCAAGTGTTTAAGAGGAGAGCAGATATCAGCAAGAATTGTTGCTTTACAATTTAGAAGAAAGAGCTATTCCTTCTTCCTGGTTGCTATTTTCACTTGTAGTTTGTGAAATTCTTTGTCAGCTATCTTTAGAAACAATTTAAACCTAATTGCTCTTTGTAAGCTTCCTGCTAACACTTTTTTCAGATATTCTCCCTTATAAGCTGTAAGTAGGCTTTCTCTAGAGAAAGAACTCGCATCTCGTAGCTGAGGCAACTTGTTACTTGTAAGCAACAAATACTTAAAGTAGACTATTCAGATAATTGATTCCTATAGTGCTATTGAATGTAGTCATATACTGTCACTGTATGTGAAAAAGGTACTTCCATTAGCAGACAATATCCTCTATGGCCCATTAGCGCTCTGCCTCGTGGGTTGGAATTTTCATTGGTATCTAAATCTTTTAGGATGCAAATTCCAGCATGAGAACAGATACCCATTTTAAACCATTACTATAATGCAGCAAAATGCCATCATCTACAGGGCACGCATCTATTTGCCTATTATAATAGGACTACTATATATTTCTTCCCCAACAAATCAAAACCACTCCATGAAAAATGTGTCTACCTTTGGACATTATCCTCGTGTCTGCTATTGCTCGCAAATATGTGCAAAAGAAGACACTATTGTGTGGTGCTGTGGTCCCAAAAGAAACAAAATGTGCAAAGTATGATGTGTCCCTCTGGTACCCAAGGGTGCATCCTAAAAAGTAATCTAGTGAAAACTGTAGAAATCAGAGTTCAAATTTCAATGTAGACAAAAAGTATTTGCCTAAACTCTGACGGACGGACAGAGTTATCCATTGCATTGCATGTGCTGAAGAAGGTAGCAAGTATCAAATGAAATAATTGAGTGCAAGTTTGGAACAAATAACACCATTATAAAGAGGGTATAATATGTCCCAAGTATCCAATTATAAGGATATGATGAGAAATTTATAAATGTTTTGAGTTGTTTCACCCATTATCTTAAAATTTCAAGTTGGATGCTTGATTCTATCTGCATAGCATCAGAATAAACAAATATTCTGAGTTGGAAATACTAGTATGACATATAACAAAAATATTTTCGCGCACGGAAATAGAAAACCAGGTTAATACAAAGTGTTGCAAAATCCTATTATCAAAAACAAAGCAGCGAGCTTCCTTTACATGGCTACAAATTAAATGTTTTGAGTCTCCTTCTGAAATATCATACTTACAATGTGCCAAATGAAATGATTTGACCTCAGGCATTGGCAACAAGAAATTACCCATCAAGAAATTCACAAACACTACTACCTGTCAATGAAACCTATCTGAAGTGTGATCTCTGCATTTTTTTACTAAGAATAAGAGGGATCTACAAGGATTGTCTCCTCAAAAATGCCTGCAAATGAAGTAAAAGATGGAGGTAGTTGTAATTCTCCTAGCTCATCATAAAAGTCATTTTCTTCTGACAATTCTGATTTTGGAAAGTTCATTAGTTGAGGGTAAGAAAGGGGCAGAAAATCATCATATGAAATTGTTCCCAACAACTTATCAGTGAATTGATTCTCTTCTTGCTGGACAAGTATGCCATCATTGTCTTCGAGGGACACATGTCGGTCCGTTATTGGTTCTTGATCTTGCTGCAGAGTCATGGGAGAATCTTGTGTAACAGGATTGAGAGGGGAGTCTTTGTAAGGCAAATTTGGACCTGGATGATTATGGGTGGATGTGTATGTAATGATGAACAAGGATGAATCTGTACTGGACCTTTCTACTTGTTTTTTAGCCGAACAACCCTTTGAGCTGCTGCATTTGTAGTAACCCCTGTATCCAAAACGATCCACTTGATGTTTACTGAATTCTTCACATGTAAATAAGGATCTCAAAAGCATAGGCAACTTAAAAACTACTCTAGGATATATATGCACACATAGAATCAAGGCGGGGTAGCGAAGCCAAAAATTTTCATTAAGGGGGTAAAAAAAAAAATGGTAAATTCACAAAGAAGTGAGGGTGAGTCAATATATAATATTTATATATAAAAAGATATGACACCTTGTGAATACATGTGGCTCCGACATTGATCAGGGACGGGGCAGAGGGGTCGGAATTATCACACTCATTTTGAACTCATCAACTCTATATCTGGGATTACCTCCGCATGCACACTAGAGACTTAACCCTGGCATAAACATAGGCGGATGCAACACAAATTCAACGGGTTCAACTAAACTCAATATTATTTTCGTGGAGAATATTGAACTCATCAAGTTTAATTTTGGATAAAACACTGAAAAATGGAAGCTTTAACAAAAGAAAAGTTAACAGAATTGGAAGGGAAAAAAAGGTAAATGCACCTGGGATAAGGGGATCCTTTGATGGGTTTCTGTCCATATTTTCTCCAGCTCCAACAATCTGAAGGAGGCCCTTCATTCTTCTGCTTTATAGCATTTGCTTCCATTTGTACTGTGATCACAACTTTCTGAGTCATCTTCCTAACATGAGCACATTCAACAGCTGTTAGGAAAGAAAAAAGAAAAGAATCCCCCCTTTTATTTATTATATATGCTCACATACTTGATTCTGTCTATGGAAACAAAAAGAAGCAAATAAGGATACCAGAAATCAGCTAGTAGTGTAAATATGAAGCCTTATGAATTGAAAGTGTGCTGAATCACCTCTTTTTGGGGGCAACAAATTGTGGTTCAAGCAGTCTTGAAGTTTTAGACTCTGATTTTGGTGGCCTACTTTTACCCATGACTATATGATCTTCCTTCTGCTTTCTTGTTTTCTGTTTTTGGGATTAAAAAACTTCCTTTTTTCTTCGCATGAGACACAAGGGGACAGTTAAGGCGAAGGAAATGGAGCTGCAGTGAGAACAATAATAAGGGAACAGATATTAGAGAGCTCTCCAATTGATTATGAGAGAGAGAATAATGAGAAATGAACTAGAGAGATGACAAAACCACACGTTATACAAGTTGTTTTCACCCCATCTTTATCACTCATTAATTATAGAGCTACAACTCCACTCAACTATAACTGTGCCAATATGGAATATTTGATTCATTTTCACCCTCCCCTCTATCCTCTCTATTCATAAAACTACTCTATATTTGCTCCTTTTATCTAGAACTAGAATACGAATATAATAGGACGGCCCAAATTTTTTTACCATTGCATTTTATTAGTCCGATTAATACGAATTCGTATAGGGCAAGTTCAATAAGAACGTTAAAGCTCAACCTAACCTTAATTAAAAATATAAGGATCTCATCAACAAATCAATATTACTTTGCATGTGTGGATATATTATATTAAATCTGGAAAAAAATGATATTTGAAGTTAAAATTGAGAAAATAAGTAATTGAAAATTAACATCTCATGAAACTAGGGGTATCAAATGGGCGGGTTGACCTTATTTTGGAGGGAGAAATTCAAAAATAGCCAAATTTATAAGTGATCATTCAAAAATAGCCACAATTTCAAAAGTAATTGAAATTTAGCCATTTTTCATGTAAAAATAAATCTGAACGAAAACACTGTTCAAAATCCGGAAAAATACTCCAGTATAATATACTGGAATTCCAGTATAATATACTTGAGTTTCAGTATAATATACCGGTCCAGCATAATATACTGGAACTTTCCGCGTGTTGCAGTTCTAGCATAATATGCAGGAAGTTCATGCACAGATGCACCGATCTCCAGTATATTATGCCGAAATAACTTTTCGTGTTGCAGCAAAATAATGGCTATTTTTCAATGACTTTGCAAACACTGGCTATTTTTAAATGATCAATCCGAAAACTGGCTAGCCCGTGCTATTTTTACTATTTTGGAAGGGTTAAAATGGGATGAGTCAATAAATTGGCGGGTCAATGACCCACCCAAAAGTAACTTGAGCTGATATGGACTGGGTCAAGTTAGTCAAAAATTTGAATTATAGCCCAACCCGCCAAATTCTTACCAAGCTTTAATTAATGTGTATCGTTTTCTTATGAATTTTTTATATCAAATAAGATTGTTTTCTTTCGTTATGGTCATATATAACATATCAAACAAAAATAATTTAAAAGATATTTTAATAAAGTTACTCATGGATCAATTTGGGCTAAAAATTAGCCCAACTTTAAATGAGTTGAAATAAGTTAGGTCAGACTGAGTTCAACAAATAGGCGGGTAATGGCCTGTCAAACCTTGGGCGAATTAGGTCGGTCAAATAGATTTAGGCTCAAATTACCGGGGGATTTGCATCTATACCCAGTTTTGGGGTCACCTTTTAACTTATACCCGTTTTGCAAAAAAAATTGCTAGCGTACCCACTTTTCGGGTAACTTCAAACATACGTGCCTGAAGTAGCAAAAACAATCACGTAAACTTTAGTTCATAGTGCAATGGCAAACTTCAATTCAATAAAACTACAATACGTTTTGACTGAAGTTTTTGTTTTGTAATTGCTGAACTTCAGCATTCTAGGAGCTGAAAGTTTGTTTCGTATTTGTTGAAATTCAACATTTCAGGAGCTGAAATTTGTTTTGTATTTGCTGAACTTCAGCATTCTAGGAGCTGAAGTTTGTTTTGTATTTGCTGAACTTCAGCATTCTAGGAGCTGAAGTTTGTTTTGTATTTGCTGAACTTCAGCATTCTAGGAGCTGAAGTTTGTTTTGTATTTGCTGAACTTCAGCATTCTAGGAGCTGAAGTTTGTTTTGTATTTGCTGAACTTCAGCATTCTAGGAGCTGAAGTTTGTTTTGTATTTGCTGAATTTCAGCATTCTAGGAGCTGAAGTTTGTTTTGTATTTGCTGAACTTCAGCATTTTAGGTGCTGAAGTTTTTGTTTATATTTGCTTAACTTCAGCTCGATTATTTTGTAATTAAAAACAAAAATATGTGTACTGTGATATAATGAGTACTTGTGCTAATTCATTGCTTAGGCATAAAATGCATCCACCTAACTAGAAACAAAGGAGACGAAGTGCAAAAACGATGCATCGGCAGTTTAACATGCAGCTAGAGCAGAAAACAATGAAAGGATCTGCCTGTTTCTTGCTCTGTTCACAAAATACCTCTTCTATTGAAAGCTTGGAGGTGAGCGACAGCTGAGTAAAAAATCTTGAGATTGAAAACGAAGGAGAAGAAGAAGGATGAGAAAGAAGCATGAAATTATTTAAAAAATAGGTACAAGTTAAAATTTTTTTTAAAAATAAGTATAGATTAAATGGTGGCGATCAAATAGAGGGTCCCGTACATTTTTTACCAAATTACCACCCCTATCTTAGTACAAAGATGCGCCTCTTAATTGGGTACGAGGGGAGTTGAGAACACCAAAATCTCTGAATTGAGGTGCAAATCCTTGATAGAGTCGCCATCAGCCCAATGCCCATTCAGTGGCGGCTTTGCTTTTCTTATTATTATTTTTGTTGGTAAGTTTGCTGTTTTTAATTTTGTGGTGCCACAAATTCCAAACTCCTTTATGGTAGTTTTACTTTTCTCGTAAAACTTAAATAATTCTCTAAATCTAAGTCTATTTATTACACCCGCACAACTCTTCCAAATATAGGGGAGAGAGAGTTGGGGGGCCCTATAAAGCCTACTTATAATGCCTCCACATCAGTTGGATTTTTAGTGGTATTTATCTTCTTCTCTAAAAGGAGATCAACAAAAATCAAGTGACTCGAGGAGTACTTTGATTCATAACTTGAACTAAAAGGCGAATCAATCATATTTATAGCCGGTCTAGTTAAGTATCTTTTCGGCTAAAAGTGTCTTTTTTTGGCTAAGAATATTTTTTTCCTAAAGTTAAAGATATTTGCCTAAGGTTTTAAAAGGAAAAAATATTTTTGAATAGAAACAGAAGCAATTTTTTAGAAACAGAAAAACTTTTTCGAAAAGCACTTTTAAGAAAAATACAATTAAAAATACTTTTTAAAAACTTGGCCAGATATCAATTACTGTTCAAAACTGCTTTTCAAATTAATTAGTCAAATACAAAATTCTTCTCACCAAAATTTTTTTTTTTTTGAAAAACACTTTTAAAAAAATATTTTCCAAAATAAACTGATTTAACAAGCTTTGGCCAAACATCCTATTAGTGGACTTGTTCTTGTCACTTTTAAGTTAAAGAATGTAACTCCAAACATGAAGTTGCAGTATTAATGAAAATTATTTGACATATAATATATATATATATATATATATATATATATTGATATTATAATTTTTTTTACATATTTAAGTATATTTATCGGTCAATGAAAGTTATTTACTGTATTTTTAGGTTATCAAATTTGAATTACTGTAGACATTTTAGGTCATCTTGATCTGATAGCGTAAAAATTATATATTTTCGCTATACAAAAGTTAAACTCTGAAATAAGAATTGAAATCTGTCTCCGCATATGCGTGTTTCTCTGAACCAAGCAAAAAGACGCCAAAGCAATCTATATATTTATATAATTGAGGGGCATTGGGGAGGTGATGTGGCATGCTCTAATCACAGATTTCCGGTTATCTTTTTTCTCAATTTTTTGCTATTTTCCCCCTTTATTTTGATTTATGTGATATTTGTAAAAGCCCAAAAGACACCACTGTAAACGTTTGGTCCAGACTACAAGAATTCGAAAAGTTACGACTATTACACAAACGAACAATTAAAGAAACATTTCAGTTACAAATCAATTTTTTTTATATTGATGGTACTTAATACTAATTTTATTACAACATTTATTGTACTTCACAATATCACAAATGAAGCTTTTCAGTTACTCAAAGGACCACGAGCAACCAACTGTGATTTTTTCCACGGTAGTTGGATCTATGAACTATGATGATTCATTTACCTTTTACAATTCATGTTTCTGCAATTAATTCTACCACGTTTACCGCCATGCTTTTTGTATTTTCTAACTTTATTACCGCTCCTGAAGCCTGAAGGTATTATTAACTTACTCTATTTTCTCTTGTAGAAGAACCTATACGTATGCTTAATCACGTATTACATTAATTTCCATGTTTTTGCTTTGTGGTTTCTCTATTTGAAAGTCCATTGACTTTGTATTTGTTTGTTATTCGGCGTTTGACCGTTAAATTGAACACAACTTTTCATTCAAGAAGATTTGAGTATCTCATTAACTTTTATGGCTTAACTCAAACTGAAACAATGACGATAAATTTTTGATAAAATATTTGAATCATTAAATTTACAACTATTATTATTCTTAAGATTTTCTTGGCCTTCAAGGTATCCCGTGTCCGGAGTCTGTGATAACATGAATTTAAAGCCGAGAATGATTAGTGTCGAAATAGTATGAGAATCTATTTCGAAAAAGAATAATGTTTAAGAAAATCTGGCGTAAAAATATTTGTTTGGTTATTTTGGATGGCAAATAGTTCCAATGTGCTGTGAATAGGGCTCAAGTACGGGAGAAATTGAAAAAGCAATGGATGAAAAGGAAGGGAATGAAAGGAAATAAAAGGGAAACAAAGAGAAAGAGGATACAAGAAATGAGAGGGAAGAAACGAAAAAGAATTGCTGAAGAGTCGAATTGCATCCATCACGTATGACCTCATATGTTTCTCTTTTTTTTTCCTATATATATATTAAAAGCAGAAAATAAGAAAATGATATTAATTAATTACATTTTCTTCTGAGTTCTTCCAAAAATAATTGCAGCATTCTAAATTTTGAAAAACAATTTAATTTGAACATTACATTTACTCATAATGATAAGCTTTTATGATTACACAAATATTATGACATATTTAGGATCATAATTCCAACTTTCAAAAGTCCAATACTCCACAAATATTACAAAATACATAAGGCCTCAAGTTTTAAAAATTATTATTTTTTCTTAAACTTCATGTCGCTTCCAATTATGCCAGAATAATCTAAATAGAGTGGATAAATTAAAATAAGAAAAGTTAGATAACATACTTACTAAGTAATATTAAATCTTTGTAAAAATTAAA